GAAACGGCGAGAGGAGTGAACCAGATATGAAGAATTGAAAAATCGAGGCATACCAGGCTGCATTCCAAATCAAAAATTTGAACCACTCAACTATCCAGCAGAATTTCATGAGATTCCATGCAATTTCATTTGAGTTACTAGAATTTTTTACTCATATTATTCAATATAAGTAGAAGAAGAAAGAACTGATACCGTGAATATTCGGGATACTATAAAAACAATGGATCCCTATATTTACGATAGGAGAGTTGAATACTGTGAATACAATAAGGATCAAAGAAACAAAAGATTATAATGATATCATGAAACTCAGACAGAACAAACATTTCCATGTCTAACAGCAAAAAATCAGGTGGTCTGAGAGTTTTGGTTTGATTAGTCTGATTGTTTCTGTGGTTGTTGCTATTATAATTCAGATATTGCCTTTTTTAATTTATTGTTTCATTCAATATGTGGGTTGGTGGTGTGGCATGTATTTCTTGTCTCTTTGGAGCTTTATTTATCGTGACTGCGATTTAGTTCAACTCTTCGAATGAAATAGGGGGTTCATTGAGTGTATTTGGGAGCCAGTAATAGTTATAGTGGGCTTCCTCTGGGAAACTTTTTCAGAAGATGTTCCTGAACTTTCTGAAATTCAGAGATGGGTCGTTATCGTCATACAATGTTCTCAACTCATGAAAATAATTTCGCACTGGTTCCGCGGCTGTTTGTCCGTTCAGGAGGTCGTCCACGATGTGTTTTAACGTTTTCATTCGATTTGTATCGTTTTCTGTATACAATCGATATCATGAATTTGCGACGCCGTTTAAAAACGTTCCTCAATACGATATTTTTATGGTATCATCCTACACGTTGGCGATCACAACTCTTCCATAGTTTTCGATAAAGTTACATGCATAATCTTCTCATGGGTGGAACGTCTCAGGACTAATGGATTGTGGTACTGCTGGTGTTTTTGTTGCTGCTCTGGTAGTGCTTATAGATACGTTTGACATGTTTGTTTGTAAGTGTATAACTGCTTGGATATTTTCCTGATAACAATGGTTCCTTTCTTCAGAATTGGTAATTTGTTCTATCTTGGTCTTGTCTAATTCTCCTGTTGGTTGATATTCGTCACTGATGTAGAACTAATGAAATCGTCTGCCTCGAAGAATATCTTCCTTGATAATGTTGGTGATCTTATCAACGATGAAGACAGCTTGCGAGGATTGGGGTTTTCTTCCTCTTCGGCTTTTTCTAGATCAAGCCTGGGCGATGATTTTGATATGATGTTCGATGAGACACTGGTGGAAAGAAAGCTCGTGCTACGATGTGCGGGCTTGAATTCTTCCAAACTCCTCTCGATTTCGTATTCACCAAAACCTCGTTCTTCTTTGGTGTTGACACATAAAAAACTAGAACTTGTCCGCCCCTCAATAGTCTTTTTTCTTCGGCGTTCCTCTTATCGCTCATGCCGCATATTTTTAATTGGTCAGTTTATAGCGTGTTGAGTGAAATTCAATCGTGATCTATATATATATAATGGGAAGATGTTTGAAAAATTCAATATTTCTTGTATGAATATTATATGAACGAATATATGTCAAGAACGATCTTCCGGCTCCTTCCTGCACCTCGTCTCCTAGATAAGAATGAATGATATGCAGACGAACAATAATGATACAATCGACAGGAGGAAAAATAGGTGAATAACTGGTAAGTTGAATGCAACTCAACTGCTAGGTCTCCTCTTAGTTAACTATATCGTCTCAATGAAACTATAACTGCCTGACCGAATAGTTTGCCTGATTGCTTATACTGAGAGTATTCCAACATTGTTACGATATCATGATTTCCTGATATATTTCACCAGTTATGGATCAGAAAGCGAGTCAATTCTGTTTTCCGATCATCCCTCGTTATAACGTTAATGACCTGACAAACTTGACAAGTGGTTCGTTCGGTAATACCAAATTTGGTGTTTGAATATATGATATTGAAGGTACCTGTGTTATTAATCATTGAAAATTCTCCGAATCTCTACAAAATGAACAAACAAACAGATTATTGCCAGTACTGACCTACTTCAGCTATGATAACAATGCTAGTACAGAGTCATCAAGTTCCTTGCGCCGTATTCGGGCCATATCCGCGTCGGTCGCTTGCCTTCAGGAAACTCGAGACGTCGAGTTTCTTCGACAATATGAAAATATCTTGACTCAGAATCGTGAAGATCGAGTATGTTCAAAATCTCTAATTCATCACCTTCCTGTTGAATGCCATCAATTCATTCAATCATGAGGAAAAATGCTGTGCTGAATATAGCTCCTCAAAATATTTCACAATATAATTTCTAATTCTGGCAAAACAGTCAATATTCACACTCCTTAAAATATCATGTCGATCTCAGTCCACTGCTCCCCATCTCATTCATAATTTTACAATTCCCCTTCTGACGACGTTTTACCTGTCAAAACCATATGGATTGCGAAATGCGTAGCATGAACTCAAGATTGCTCCTACTCAATACCGTGAGTTTGAAGATGTA